CTTACCACTCTGTTTGTAACTCTGTAATGTCTGTACTGATCCTTTGCTATTTTGTAAAACATTGTCCATCTGTTAGTATTTTCCTCCTTTTATTTCTAAAATAAAAAAAATATTTGCTTCTAACAGATAATGCTTTTTGAATGTAAAAACTGTTTCAGCAACATGAATTATCAATCTGCACATAACTAATTTCCATACAGAACTACAGAGATATGGAAGACAAACTAAATATTTAGAAGGTGGATTCAAGGGAAATTTTGTTTTAGTCTCTATAGGCATTCTGATTTCTTACATCTAGAGAAATAAATCCAGATCTTTAAAGTTTTATTAATTAAATTCTGTCTACTTGAAGTCCAGCTATACAGTATTGCCCATGGTAATTGTTTATTCATTAATCCACATTATAATTCTGGAATTCTTCACAAAGTTCACATTGACTTTTTAATTTGAACTAAAAGTTACTTTTTTCTAATGCTAAATTAAGCAGCATTTGGACAAGGCATCAGTTATTGTGTGGATACAATCTGCTTTCTCCCACAACTTATGATTAATGCAAAATGAGATCCCTCATTGATCTCTGCTCATGCAAACACTTCACATGGAGTCCATGAAACTGCAAGTGAAAAACGAAGAGCAAATTTTGTTTTTTAAGATAGCAATAGGTGTGACTGTGAACATCTTAGTGTGACTGTGAACATTTCATAGATTTAGATATTGATATAGATATTAATAATGTTTTTTAAGATAGCAATAGGTGTGACTGTGAACATCTTAGTGTGACTGTGAACATTTCATAGATTTAGATATTGATATAGATATTAATATAGAGATAGAGATATATTACATATGTAGTATTGTTCTTGTAGACATTTTCATTGTAATGAAGTTGAGGTTGGAATAGTTGAAATAGGATACTGCTTGAAGTGAGTGAGTACATGAATAGAGCTTTTCTTGGCTTTTTCTAACTTCTATCTTTTTTTTCATTTACAGCTATTGAAGAAGAAGAAAATGAATCTGTGCCTCTATCCTTAAGCCCGGACATATCCTTAAATAAGTCACAGTTAGATAACTGCCCAAGGGACTCCGGTTGTTATATCTCATCAGGAAATTCAGATAATGGCAAAGAAGATCTGGAGTCTGAAAATCTGCCTGACATGGTACAGAAGATAACTATCACAGAGTCAAGTGACTGAATGCACATTCTCAACTGCATATCTACAGATGCACCCTCTTCACTGTTGTGCTAGGCAGTTAGCCGGAAGAGGAAGAAAGATACTTGTAAATACAACCCAAGGTTAAAACACTTTAACTTGAATTATTGTACATAACATTTATATCTTGAACTTTCCAGGAATTACAAATAAAATGTATATTCATTTTGAATACTATGTTAATATTGCACTTACCTCTATCAGAAATACGTGCAGAGTAAGACTTTGCTATGTAGCAGATATGCTTCATTTTCCAAGTTAATGATGAAACCTGAGGGAAAAATTATTTCTTCCACCTTCCAGAATTGATTTTGTGTATATTTTTACATGACTAGTAATGAAGGGTATTTCTTTTGAATCAGTTTGCTCAAGACCATCTATACTCACTTTTATATTTATTAGGAAAGTGTGTTACTGTTGAAGGCATTTTATCCTGACCCACAGTACCTTTGGTAATTATTTTTGTTTATTTCTTAACTATGTTATCTCATCTAACATGTAGATAATACATTGACACTCAATTTAGTAAAACTTTTAAAAATTATATAGATGTTTTATGTTCAAGTGTAAATATGTTTAAATTTGAATACCCCAATGTTAATAATAAAAAGAACTATACACATGTATATTTTCCAGTCCTGTGTTATTTAAGGTACATAAGTATTAAACTTAAAAAGAAAATTCTTCCTACCAAATAAGGTTATATAGTTGGTCTTAATTTTTTTGAATATTAGTGATTCCCAAATCATTATATCAGCCTCAACTCACGTATTTAACTTAATATATCTATTATGTAACTTCTTTAAAACCCTTAGGAAATACTAACCTGACATACTCAAGTGACTGATTTTTCTCTAGAAAATTTTCTCCTTTTTTATTCCCAGCCAACATGTAAATAAACTGAAACATCTTCATACTTCAAGTTTTTACTGCCTCTCATTTATCTTTATCATAATATTTAAAGATTCTCCCATGATGTGTGACATCCTTCCCAACAACTTTTACCAACTTTATGAGCCACATCACTACCCTCATTTCTCATTCTACACTCAAGCCGTAATAAGTTATTTGCATTTTTCAAACTTACTATTTCTTTCATGACTTTTGATATGCTATTTTTCTCTGGAATTTCTCCTGATGTTTTCAACATTGGAAGTCTCACTCTGTACTCTGTCTCATAATTATTACAAAAGAGTCATTTAACTCTAGGGAGCCTTCCATAATGCCCTTTTGCGCTTTCTTGTGTTTTGACAGCAGTATGTAAGTTATTGGTTAAAGAAATTCTCACATAATATTTTGTCTATTTGCATGATAATTGTCCTTCCAAAAGATTGTGACTTCCTTGTAACAGAAGTTACTTTGTTTAGTCTTTTTACTGGTATTTCAATTTCAAAAATTGAAAATATTACCTCCCTCAATGTGGCTACCATTCCCACCAGGTTATTATAGAGCATCCTTAAAGAAAGTAAAATACTAACCATAATTTAAATGAAAAAGGTAAGTTCTATGCAATTTGTTTTCTCAATTTGGTCAAGAGGACTCAGCTTCTTTCTGGAGGTGCCAGGAAATTGTAAATCAGAGAGAATCTAAAGAACTACTTGATAATAAGAACACTGAATATCTCTCATGAAGTATACAGCTACAAAATTCGATCCCTTACACATGCATTCATGCTACACAGCCCAGCATCTAATGAAATGTTTTGAGTAAAAGGAGGTTCTGAGGCTTTGAGGGAAATTAAGGGTGAGGGAGGTACTGGATTTCCACAGAGGGAAAATCAGAGGGAAGCAGAGACACCATGAAGTTCAAGTAACTAGGAAGAAGACCCGATTTCGGAATACCACACTGTGCAGGACACATGCGAAGTAAATGTACAACCCCAGAGGGAGCGACAATTGCTCCTTTTCTTCACCTATCAGATCTCTGAACCTCTAGCCTCAGTTTACTCATCATGAGGGGGAGAATATCAACAGAAAGAAAGTGGGATTTTTCTTGACCCTGGAAAGCTGAATAAAGAGAAGTGGAAAGGTTCGAAATAGCTCATCTGAGGCTTTGAAGTTTTAAGATATTGAGGTTTTGGTGTTTGTCTGGAAGAGAGACATGGGGCTGAACCTTAAGAGCAGATAGGAAAGTGATTAGAAGTTTGACATTTTAATATTTACAGGATGATACTATTAGCTTTTAGTTTGGGGCTTAAAATCCGGTGAAATTCCAAACTTCATGCATTTCTATATTTATTCAATAATATTTAGAGATGGAACATACATGCTTCCCTAAACTATTTCAGCAAAGGTGCATTAAACCAGATCATCTACTTAGAAAAATATAAGACCCTCCTCATTGTAATTAGATGAACTTTTTGGCATATACCCATGTGTTAGACCTTTCAGGGATACAATGTTTATCTAATAGAGATCTCCAGTATTTGCCAATTCAAGTACATTGTGGTAATATAAAGAATTGGAGAAATTCTCTGTAAATGGAAAAAAGTCCTCACAATGCTTCATAGATATATATAAAATTCAGATCAATTAAGTTCTAGTATCCCTTCTAGTGTACTGTCAATAAATGCATGAATGTATTTTCATCTTGAAGTATTTTATTAAAAGGTTTTCTTTTTCAAATCAACTGAATTTCCAAAGGGATTAGTTACAAAATGAAAGTACTTTAAAAATTTCTAGAATGATACACATCTAAAATTTATTAGATTTTAGACAATGTCCAACTCACTGAGGTTACAGTCAAATGCCTTGCAGCTTCCTGAGGGAAGTCAAATTGATGACCCTTCACATTGAGAAACTTCCGTTACAAGTAAAATTTCTGAGAAAAATAATATGAAGAAATTTTAGGTACTCCCTGACCTACCCCCACACACAATTTCTGTTCCCTCTACTATCATCAAAGGAAATTGCGTAATTAGCATGCAGGCTTTAAAATACTCTTTCACAAAGTGAGAAGTCATTCTAACATTATATGAAAAGGTTGGGAGAAACCTAAATTACAATAATATAAGTATGTAGAACAACCGTTTCTAAATTTAACGAGGGATTTTGGCTATGGAAATAAGATAGCAGTGACCCTCATTTTATGCTATGTCCTATTTTCCACTGAATTTTTCTGATCACACTCAGTGTTTACCTAAACGTCTATATACACTCATGAAATTGGACCATCTTCTTTAAAAACTGTATTACTTTGAACAGATCATTTATCTTCTAAAGTTAGCCCTTTTTCCTTTTCCTTATTTTACCAGGTAGTGTAGATTAACTGGAATAAAGTGTACAAAATGTTCAACATAATGTTTTTGTATATGTAAAATAACCACCACCATTTTTATACTCACAGCTTCATTTTTATTTACTATTGTCTGAATACAAAATGAAAGCTGTCTGCGTTCTACCACCATGCAGGCATGCATTGGTAGTAATTTAAGGTTTTTCAAAACAAATTGTCTGAGGGCTATGAAAACTGAGTTGGTCAGAAAGAATGAAAGAGGATCTTCTGGTTTAACAGAACTTCTGAAATAAATGCATTTTCATCATGATATTATTTATTTGTTTACTCTTGAAAAGTTGAAGAAGACACCACGTGTACTTAGCTTTGATTCTTTACTCTTGGTACACAATAAGAGTAATCATTTTTGAACAACGAGTGACTGAATATATAAATGCATGCCTACATTAATGGATGAAAAATGAATAGATTTGGGGTCATTACTGCACCATGGTCCCTGGCTTCCTACAAATTGTGGAGTTATAGCTGAGTCAGTCAAAAGTAACAGAGAGACTCCCAGGAAGTCACCCCAGATGTAGACATTCACTTTTTACAAAGCTTGTATGCATCTAGGCAAATGATCATTGGAAATCAAAGTGTCAAGAGATGCTAAAAGCTCCCAGGTATATATCGTATGGGCTTTTCATCATACCCATCCAGAGATTCTTAATGAAAACTTTGCAATATATTTTATGACTGAGGAGTCAAAAGCAGAGTACCTTTAAAAGTGACTTCTGCACATTCACTAATCTTTTTTGACCTTCCAGAGACTCAGGAGGACTGGTTGTAGAGCACTATTTTTTTCACAGGTCAGTAGTGGAACCTGAAGAATTAGGCTACAGAACTGTTTCCTCTCTGAGTTTGTGGGCACTCAGCCAAATGAATGGGTAGGAATCATTCCATTTGCCTACTAAAATAGGGTGAAAAGCACTTCTGGCACACTTTGTCCATACAAATTATACTTGTTTGCAATTCATCAACTCCCTCTCTCCTTTCTACCCATATGTAATGTAAATGATCATCTTTCTCTGAGGCTCCATAATGATGCACAACTCAAAAATTGTGATAGAATCAGCTAAAAGAGAGCAGATGGAAGTTTTTTTTCTCTGATATGAATATTCATAAAAAATAGAAAACTCAACAAAAGTAGATACACAAGTACTCGCACCCACAGGCTGAATGGACTTATGCACAGCAGTAGTTTGGTTTTCTGCAACTATTTATCTTTGAAACCTTTATTCATTTGATTCCACAACAATCACTGAAAGTACTCTGGGAAAAATGTCTGCCTTCCTATACAAAAACAAATATAATTCTCTTTGAATTGTTTGCACCTTAGAATCTATGATTCAGGAAGTAATGGTTAAATATTTTACTAGAGAAATATAATTAGAGAAAAAATTATGTAAAAAAGCTAAATCTTAAGTATTACTTTAGTAACACAAACTACAGACATTTAAAAGCACACTGCCATACCCAAAATAATGATATAGAGATAACCAGTTGTCTGGATTGCATTTATCTATTTCTTAAAAGTATTTGATTAGTTGGGGGCAAAGATGATTCACGTAAAAGTACTGAGGAAGCATCAGTGTTGCAGAAAGTTTAGGATAAACCAATCAAAAAAGAAAAAAATAGAGTACTATAAAACAGAACAAGAAACATCTTCCAGAGGGTAGCTGAGTTTTGGTAGCATAACCAAAAAAGTGGCTTTCACATCAAAATTAGATATTTCTGATTTCATCTGTGAAGTCTGGTACTCATTTGGGGAGGTTAATCTGGGTGGATGGACCCTACACATCAGTTCCTTTGGGCTCCTGTTGGACTCAGTGGATGGGCAGCGCCTTCAGGAGACTGGAAAGGGAAAGGGGAGTGAGGTCAGGGTATTTGTTCTACCTATGATGTTACCCTGTCCTGGCTATCTCCCCTAAACAAGCATCACTTGTCCTGTCAAGGTGACTTTTTATAGGACTCCTTCCCTTCAGATTCTTGTAATGCCTCCTTTACCTCATCTCCTAAGGCTTGGATTTAAATAACAGCTCTGTGGATATGGGCTACCATTTCTTGCTAGCTTTTTTTGGTTCATTTACTCTGTACATTGCTCAGGTTTTTGCAATTAGTCCCTTTATAAATAAGCCCATATATTGTCATTTTATTTCATGCAGTTAAAAATACCTGAAATGAGAATGGTTGACAGTATATACACAGACATTTTCATGATGCAGTTCAGGTCAAATGCAAAAGCAACTGTTCATTCCCTTGCTAACAAGCACAGCCATGATTACTTTGGTATAAACATAGGCTCATTTCTATTAGCACAGCACACATCTATCCATATCAATATTCATCCACAACTATGTAATTAAATATGAATGAAGTAAGTATTTCTGGCTTTAGTTTTTTCCTTCTTAATTTCATATTTCTATCATTAGTAGCATTTTTGTGCATATATATATATATATATTTGTTCACACAGATACTGGAATCAAATCTTTTCTTTAAAAATAATTTACTTTTAAATTATATTTCATCTGAAATATTGAGTAACATAGATTTCTCATGTACAAAGCCCTAGGCCTCTTAATCTCAACAAAGTTTACTGCAAAATATGGAAGCCCAGATAATTTGCATGATTAATGAAAA